TATTTGATTCCTTAATTGCATACATCCCCATTGGACCATAATTCTTCACTTAGCTCTCACATTTACTCAGGCTATGGACAGACATACAAAAAGCTGGAGCCTGAATTGATTCAGTCTTTGCAGGTTAGTCTGACTTGCCTAGATTGAAGCAATTTGCAAGTGAATAGACATTCATGAAATGTAGGCACGTGCTTACAGCTGCTCGGGGAAAGCTTCTAATGCTCCTACCCAGCCAACCTGCCTTTTGGAACCTGAATTTAAAGACAGCCCTGAGTGCTGATGTCCTTCACAAACTGGACAGACTGTGATACCAACTCATCAGCTCTTTGCATCCAACACCTCCAGATCAGGGTCTTTCCTTCTCCCCTCCCCCACCCACTGCTTTTGTGGGGGAAGTTAGAGAACAGCATTAAAAAGCAACCCTTAATCCTCTTTCCACCAAACACAATGGAGGGCACAAACAAAATCCAACCTGTTTCTAGGCTTCCGTTGCTAGATAGGATTGCTAGAGAAGTCTGGACCAAGCATTATTGCATCCTGCTACCACAAGGATGAGCTTAAGCAGAACACTGCTTCATGCTATTTCATGGCAAAGCAAAGCCACATTTTGTCTGTCTCATCCAAAGCTTGCAGGCCTCAAAGAACAAGCTGTCCACAGCAGAGGCCCAGGTGCTATATTACCCATCTGGCTCTCCATGACTGCATGTACAGTAGCATGTGTCATACTCCCCAGCACAGACAGAAGCCAAGAACTGGGCTTCTGTTACTGCCTTTAACATGCAGGGTGTATGTGCGTGCATGCACATCTCCTTGACCAGCCTTTTTGGGGTATGAGGGGCAGAGGGGCAGGAGAGGAGAATGGAAGGGGTGGACACCTGTGAACCTCCTGTTCTGTGCCCCTTGCTTATCCATCAAAAGATACAGCTATGAATATGCCAAGTACTACGTGATTTCAGTAGAATGCAGCACAGATTACACCAGAAGTGGGTGAAGGGGGCTTTGGAACTCATATTTATGAGGCAGAAAGTCTGTGGAGATGTGCACAGTTCTCATCTTTCCATGCCCACTCACCAGCCTGCATGGACAGCAGTCTGTTGGGAACATCCATATGTTAGCTGATAAAAGGACACAGCAGACCAAGTATGAAGGGTAGAATGGATCTCCAGCCCAACATAGAGCATATGGTGAAAGCAGCATCCCTGTCAGAGGAGAGCCAAGGTGACCACCTCACTATTGCCACATTTCTTTGCTTTCCATACAGATTTACAAATTAACTGTAGCCATCACTAACTGTTTCAAAAATTGAGATAAAAATAGCATGTCTAGTTTGGAGTGCTTTAGTATAGGAACAATTTTACTGAATAGCCTTTAAATATACTGCATTTATATAGCACCTTTCATCCAAGGGTCTCAGTGCTTTAATTGAAGTGGATATTATTCCCATTCATACATGGGAAAACTGAGGCACAGAGTGGTTCAGTGACTTAGATAGGTCACACAACAAATCAGTGAGAGTCTGGGTAGGACTCTGGCCCCCTTGATTCTCAGTCCTGCTGTCTGGGGTTAGACCACACTGCTGCCTCAGTCATGGAGCTATTCCTGTTGTGCCCTCCCCAGTGAAGATCTGCCCTCTTGCCACCTCCAGTGAGGTTTCACACTGTTTATGAAGCACATAAATATGACAACCAAAAAAAGTGCAGTAAACTAAACTTTTAAAAAAGCACGTTTGTGCTGTGTCTGTGCAAAGATAAAATAAATACATGATTACAAAATTAAAAAGGTTCACAGTATCACACACAGGTAGGTAGCTACAGTAGTGCACGTTTGGAAACACTTTGTTACTACCCAGGATTCTCACCACCCAGTTGAAAGTCTCCTTTGGGAGCCCTGAGCAGGAGGTTTCTTTGCTGTCCACATCTTGGATAGATATAAATACATGTTTAGAGTTGCGCTCCATTCTGAAATGCAGTGCCTGGGATCCTGCAGTGCAGCAATACTGGTGTCAGCAAGCTCTTCCCCATCCCTCTGGAACGGCTGCATCAACGAAAAGGGAACACGTCAACCTGCAGAGGGAAACGCTGGTCTCTGAGTCTTCAGTGTCTGCATAGTGATTACTGAAAAAAGCAGGGAGAAAGCAGTTAACATGTAAGCATCTCTGTAGGAATCTCATCTATCTTTGCATTTTAAGTCCTTTGAACAAAAAAAGAGGTCTGAAGAGAAAACCGTGTTCATGTTGGGCCCTCCAGTAACAGGGCAATTTGGAGATGAATGCTATGGATCACTGAGGTTTGACTGTACTAAATGATTGTGCAGGCTAAAGGCAGCTGTGTTGTCAACCTCTACCTTGATCCTGACTGCACAGCAGATCTTGCCTGCTGCCAAAGAACCAGTTGAAGTTACGCTGGGACCATACTACAGCCATGCAAGCACGCAGAAGCCAAGGTGACTTTCTCTTGCAAGCCGACATCTAGAGCCATGAGCTGGCATGCTGGCAATGCAGTGCAAGTCCTGAGCTTGACCCACCAGGCACCCACTGAATTTTTCTTATTACACTTACTGTATCGCTCTCCTCATCAGAGACAGAGTGGACTTGAGTGCTATAGTGGAGGGGGGAGTAAACCCAACTCCTCTCGTCTGTAGGCTGTCAGAATGGCCAGAGACGGCAGGGAGAGTGCAAGAGCAGCAGCAGCAGAATAGGGAGCAAAGGAGAGAAGAGGAGAAAATAAAAGGAGAAAATAAAAGAATAGGAAACAATACAGTGAGAACAGCTGTACACCAGAAAACTGAGCTTAAAACACAATGCCTGAGAAGGAGCCTCTCCTATCATTACATACCCTATCACGTTACATGCCCTATCACATGGGGCAGCCCGGCATCAGCACTATTAAATGGAGCCTCTACTTCCACTACAGTGGAGGTGGCACCACCTCCTTCCACTGCTGTAGCACTTTCTGCATGAGGATCCACAAAAGCAATCCAATCCAGGCATCGACTGAGCCTTAACTCCTGTGTGCGGCCAGCAACATCCTTACAGAGATGGGACAGACACTCAGACAAGTTCTGCAATTTGCTCGAAGTCAGGCAGCAGGTCTGGGACCAAGCTAGAATTACAATCCAACTCTTTCAGCACCCAGCCCCATGTTCTATCCATAAACCATCTTCCTGCATGCCTTCACTGGAGGTGGCATCAGTACATTCAAAGTTACTGTCACTTGAAGTTTAAAGGAACTCTTATGGTGAAACATGAAATCTTTTGATACACCTTCCTCCCCCTCTAAGTGCTAGCCAAGTGTGGAGGCTTGGCAGGTTTTGATCATCGTGAACACAGGCCATGACAGGGATCTTACTAGGTAAATCAGTAAGACAGTGAGGAAATGGAGAATAGAGAACAGGTACACAACAGGGAGGCAACACGCAACTGGATTGTTCTGGGTAAAAGCCTAGAGAGCTTACTAGCCCACAACAATATTTAAGAACCTTCTGCTTCCAGGCCACAGGAAGAAACTTGCAGCCAAAATTCAAGCCTGGCTGCCATTTCAGACATAGTCCCAGAGGAATCCACTTTTATCACAAGACTGTTTCATTTTCCCAGTTGCATTTAAAGGCATGAGGTAAAAAGGAGGATTGGATTAAGCCTGGTAAAGAGATTTACCAGCCTAGGGAAACAATGCTGAGAGTTTAGGACGTACAGCTACAATGCACCAGCAGCAGAGCTTTGAAACACTGGTGGGGGTTCCACATGCTGAATTCCATCAATAATTGCAGGCTGTGAGAACAAAGAGCAGCCAGGAGGGGGTAAAAAGTCCAGTGCTACAAACCCAGGAACATGCCTGCATGCTGAACCAAACCTACCTTACTCCACAGCTTCTTTCAACCCTAACTGATAATTACTGCTCTGGTTGAACCATGTAGCCACCTCCTCAGCCTTCTGAAAGCACTAGGTGCACATGGAAAGAGACAGTGACTAAAACTGCAGTCCTTGTTGGGTGGAGAGGAAGAAGTAGCATTTGATGCCTGGTCTTTGGTGCCAAGGCTTCCTAATGTGATGATGAATAGGAGCAAAATGGGCTCCAGTAAGAGTAGCAATTCTTGTTCTTACACATAGGTCTGCTCTGACCACTCCTCTCCACTGCCCCTCACGCAACGGCACACGATGCTCAGTCTGCACCTTGCCGTATCCTCATCCAGACTGCTTCGTGTGCCCCACACTCCTCCCTTTCCTGGTTGCAGGCAGAGGAATGGGGTGGGTATGCCACATAACCTACCGATCATGGACGATTTGAAGGTGTGCAAAGGTGCAGCGACTAGCCTAGTCAGAGTGAGCTGTGGTGGAACCTAGACTGGAGTCCCAGACCCTTGGTAGCTGCTACTGCACAAAGCTACTGCTCTGCTTCCTTTTGAAGGCAGACGGGCATATTCATTCTGCAAACAGAACTTTCAGCAGAGGGGAAAGGTAGCACTGGATGAGGAGTGGGAGCCAGGAGGGACCACAAAAGAGAAGCCACTTTCTAGGAAGAAGAAACCCTCGCATCCACCTGCTGATTCTTAGAAGGTCCTTAAGTATTAGCAGCTGACTAGCATCCTAGATGCCAGCATCCTGTAGCCTAAAAGGTCACATTTATTGGACTTTTCTCTAAGCAGTGTTCCTTCAGAATCCAGTTCTGGAAATTCAGGAGTATGTGGCCACAACTACACAAATACTGAAGCACAGCTTAGCTAATGTCACGTGCTGCCAAACATGCTAGCAGTAAAGGGTTAAATAACAGGCTGAATTTTACCAAGAGCTTTGTAGCTACCCTTGAGAAAAAGTGGGAGGAAAAAGGAGGAAATGGGAAGAAACATGAGTTCCTGCATTCAAATCCATTCCCAAGGTTTCATCCAGTAGCTTCAAGGAACAGCTGTAGGGAATCCATTAAACAGGGTCTTTATGGCCATGACGCCTGTCCCTGTTGGGCCTGAACTGCAGTCCAGAATCCCCACAAAGCAAAGCCACTTGTGGAGCAGCCATGGAGATGGAACCAGTAGGAATTAGCTTGAACCCCAGTGTTTCAAAGCCACAGCTTGGCTCCCTTTGTGCACTAGCACGTTCACTTACAGTCCCAGAGGAAAACGAGGCGGCTCGGAGTCTGTGTTGGCGGGGAGAGTAAATCCAGTACCTCCCATCTGTGAACTGGATGGCACCAGGGCAAGTGAGATGAGAAAGGAAACAAAGGATGAATGAAAGAATGGATGAAAGAAAAAGTAACAGAGGGACTGGGCATCTCCAGACCTGAACGGATTAAATGGAGGGAAAGCCGTGCACAGAACCAGTATTGCCCCCTGGGCCCAGCCACGCTGATCTGCACCTTTATTCCCCTCCAGACTAGTGTGGGGATAAAGTGCATCCCCCCCACCACTTGTTGTCTTAAGCATTTAAAAGCAGATTTTTAGAGGCAAGTATCTGGTACCTTGGGACTCCCTACCAATTCTCCTCTGGTCACAGCATCCTTTCACCGACTATCCCAAAATGCACCTGTTACAGAGCACCTGCAGTCCTGAGCTACATCATGCTTAGCTGCCAAGTTACCCAAGTTTCCATTGAAGCAGTTTTCCTAGGAGAGTGTCAGTGGGAACTAAAAGCAACTTTTCCCTTCAGTTAAGGTGAACACTGCACAACACACCACACACATTTGGAACTAAAGCACCTCAATGAGAGGTGAAGTTAGGCTATTTGTGCACACTGCAAACAATTGATTATTTCCCCAGAAACTTAGTGAAATAATATGATCGCCCAGGGGTGGGGAGATGGCAAACCCTGCTACAAGTCACTTCCTAGTAAAGTGGACAGTACCTGAAGGAACTCCCATTCAATTGTCACTCACAGGCAAACAGAGCAGCAAGGGTTAGAAAAAACTGCATTTTGAACAACATGCATAAAAATCCAAACAGGTAATCTTTTAAAACTGAGCCGATTCCTTCTGCAACTCCCTTGAGCAAAGTTACTCAGCAATGAATGAGCAGTTCTGCAGAAGAGTCACATGAGTACAAGGAAAGACAAATGTTGCTCTCGTTGCAGTGATCTGTTTGTACCAAAGTGTCAAATCAGGGGGCATAGGTCTACAACAGCTGCAGCCAGCGGGGTTGCAGTATGGATGTTTAAGTTCATAGTCTTTAAGGAAGGGCTCCCTAGCCATGGCCAGTGTCAATGCAAGGAGGAAGGTGAGGCAGTGATGTTGCAGACCACACAGGCTGCCTCAGGTCCTCTCTGCTGACCTTTGACAGCCGAGAGAAGCAGCTCTGTGCTATGAAAAATCTCTAGTCTCCAGAAGGTGCTCAATCATTGTGAGAGATGACAGAGAAATCCAGCGCAAAGCTACACAACACTTTTGATGCTAATCCAGTAACCATGTCACTTACTCCCCGATTTAGTACTAAACATCCACTGTAGCATCTAATGCATTTGCCTGCAGGGGAGGGAAAAACTGAGTTCATCACAAACCTCCAAGGTGAGCTGGCACAGCAATATTCTCAGTTTTGTCTCCAGGACACAACAAGGATATAATTTAAATCTTAGTATTTTTGAGCAGTGTGATTATCACAAGATTCCCAAATGTGACAGCTTGATCTATTTAAACCCTTCTACGACTTGTGCATATATAGGTAGCAAAACTATAAGAGGAACAAGGCAAAGAGACACAACTATAGAGTACACTTAAGACAGCAGTACCATTCATCCCTCTGCCAGAATTCTTGTTATTACTTAAAGGTTTAATCCAGAGATGACAGGATTAAAAACCTTTCTAACTAACCAAGGAGTGGGCAGTTAGCTAGTTAAATGTTTCTGATCTATAACTTATGGATTACCCAAATCAGATATTTTTCTTCACTTTACTGTTCTGGTAATTCATACCTAGTTACAGGCTTGCCTGAACACGAAGCTCACATTTTTAAAAACAGAGACTATGTAGCTTAAGTATCTTACAAAGTATATGTCTGTGACTGGCACATCTTCTTCATCCGAAGCCTGGCTGGCTGGTTCTGAGGCCTGACTAGCCGTTTCCACTTCTATTGTAGCCGTGGATGTTACAATGGCACAGGCTAAAGAAGCTGCCTCCCTGAAAAAGAACAAAGAAAAGAAGACGATCTGTCTTAATTTAAAAAGAGACAAAGTGGAAAACGCTCAATATATTAGAGGAGCTAAAAAAGGTTCAGCTGAAAATCCAGAAGTCATGGTCACATGATACAGACCAATGCTGTTCCACTGATCTATTTGGGTAAGAAACTAAACTATTAGTGAAATGTGTCATGACTCATGGAGTACGTTTGTCCCCACGCATCTCAAAACTGAAATGAAAAAATCAGCACCTCTGCCCGCCACCATCTGGCTCCAAGTGCCCACAAGTGCCACAACTATCCACCACCCAGGTGGGCAGCTCTGAAGCAGCCCATGTCAGAGGACTATATGCTGGAATCAGCATTTCCTCTTGACCAACAACAATGGAAGCCTCCAAAGACCTATTTACTTTCCTGTATAAAATATTTACCCTTTATCTTCTTCCGGAGCCACAATCTCAATGTCACACTTTGTCTCTAGCTCTACATTTATCTGCTGGAGCTCTTCTTCAACCCGATCTTCCTCATGTGACCTGCAAAAGCAAGGGGAAGACAACCCATCTGCTCAGTTCCACATTGTATATGTTTACAGTGATATTCAGGGTCAAGTTTTCAATCATCCACAACCAGCCTGAGCCATATAAGCTGTCCTACCCGGTGTATCACATACCAGTTACAAACAAATGCCACATTTGTCCCAGGATAAATTATTTTACCCTAGGACAAAGTGCAATTGTTCAGACATCCATCTCCACTGTTCCAGGATACACCCTAAAAAAAGGTTCATGGAATAAGAAGTACTAGCAGTTTATCCTGGGACACTGCAAAGAGCACCTGAAGGGTTATCCCAAGATTGCATCATTGAATCAATGGCAGAAGAGTGGCAGTGCATTCAGCCAGTCACTAAACCCTGATTAGAAGGGCAATGTGTGTACATGCCAATCCTGGGACATTTCTGTTCCAGGACAAGCACAGACACACCTCGTTCAGGGACAAATGCAGTGTCTGCTCCTTGTGGCCATCACCAAAAGCTGTCCACATTGTGCTTGTTTTTTGAGCATGCCACTAAGAGGTACCCCATGTTGCTTTGCACAGTCCGCTTAACAATTAGTCCATGGATGACTCGTCTCTTCCTGTGTTGCTTCTACTTCTGCAGGCACCAGACCAAGGAAGCAGGATGCAGCAAGGCCTCAAGCAGCATTGCGTGATTGCCCAAGGCAGCATCCTGTGTTTGAGGACTGCAGCACCCAGACAAGTTCTACACACACTGCAGAAAGAGGAGAGCTAGGAGCTGAATGCAGGCTGGTCAGCCTCATGCCCAGGAGTTCAACAGCTTCCAGGCTTAACTGGACTGCTACTAGAAGTCAAGTTTAGGAACTGACTGTATAGCTGGATGGGCTTGAGGATGGTCTTACAGTCAGCCCTACCTGTTGGTGTAGACAGAACCTATTATTTTCTCCTCCGTTCCAGTGTTCAGTCTTCAATACCCAATCATCACAAATCTGCTTTAGGTCAGACTACTCAGAGCCTCACACGCTGCAGTCAGCAGCACAACTTAGCGGATCTGGTCTGGCCTTGGTACAGGCACCCAGCAACTTGTTGCAAAAGTAATAGCCTGTGACCATCCACCTGCAGTACTGCTGATAGCAGAGATGTGGCTACCTCAGCTTTTGCAATCAGAAACAGGAGTCAGGATCTCCCCAGTGGCTGATCTTTTTAGACAGTTTTTGACACCCTAACTTCCCAGATCAAGGAGTCAGTCTTTTCCAAATTTTATTTTCCAAGAAGTTGAGAGGTGGATAAAAGAGAACAGAAGCAGCAAGACTAGCTGGATCAGGCCAGCTGACAACATGAAGACCTGTACTTCATCCCATTTTCCTGCTGGCTGGGTGACAGATGGAAGCTGCTTGCCACAGGAGGAGGTGGTAGAGAATAGCTGGCCCATGGGAAGCAGCTGGCTAGCTCTTAAGTTTTAGCGCTTCAGGCTGGCCAAAGCCCTTTGGCCTCTTCTGTGGTTCCTGATTTGCCAACACTGTTTAAGTATTAAAGGGTTAATATATGCTTTAGTCTAGACTATACATGCCTACCCCAGGGAGAGCCACATAACTTGTGGATTTGTCTTCAGTTTAATATTTTATAGTATTCAAGTAATTGTCTACTTGAGCAAGACTTACAGAATAGCTAGTTTGTTTTATGGCCCTCATGGGAAGGAACGGCTAAGTAACGGACACAATAAGTGGGAGAAAAGTTACATTTAATGCCCTGGATTTGCTAGAGGTACCAAGAGATGATACCATGACTGTTCCTGGTGCTTCCCTTGACAGTGCTTGTGTCAAGCTCAGATATAATACAGCATGAGCACACTTTTTAGGAAGTGGAGGTTGCAGAGCCAGCAGGTGGAGCTGTCAGACAGTTCTACTGGATCAGCTCAGCAGCTGGGCTTTGCTGTTTCTTGCAGTGGTGGGTTAAAAAACCCCCAAAACCAGGGAATTCTCCATAAGATTATAGTAATTCAGAGGTATGACACTACAGAATCATAGAAAATCAGTGTTGGAAGGGACATTAGGAGGTCATCTAATCCAATCCCCTGCTCAAAGCAAGACTATGGGGAACTGAACAAACTAGATAAGTTCCCTTTTCGTGTGCTAAGGTATGTAATTTCACTGAGATTCATGCATTAATAACTTGGTATTTGCAGCCTCTTTTCACCAGATGCATAAACATGCTCTGTACAAGAACTCTGTACTTTGACTCCCTTGTGATAAAGCACACAGGCATCAGCGCTACAGGGGCAAACAAGTCCCAAAATTAAGGCCCACAGTTTCAAACACTGTCTGAGATCCAGCTACAGGTGTCTGAATTCAGGGGGGAAGGTGGCAGGGGCATTTTGCACCTGGACAGTAACCCCCCTCCCCTCCCCAAGAGGAGTTGGAATGCTTAAATACATCTATTCATGCCAACTGCTATTGCGGGTCCACAACACTCTTCCGTAAGAGGCCCCTGGCATCTAGCAATACCAGCACCCAAAATGAGCCTGGATAGTTATACAGACAACATTGAAGAGCTTTTGTCATTCCTAATAAATTGAAGAAATGATTGTTAAAATGTTATGTCAGGCCCTTGTCCAACTTGATTAGAGACTAGGGTAAGACCCTGAACAGTTTAGCCTATATTACCTACCGTAGGGTTCTCAGCTTCCTACAAAGCCAGCCCACCTGAGACAGGATAAGGAAGCAAATGGTTCTTTGACCTGGCCCCCATCCCCATCTGATAATTCCTGTGTAGTGCTGTGCACTCAAACACTGAAACACCCCAAAGCAGAAGCCACATTTGAAGATTGACCTTTGACTTAGCCAAGTATGTTGGGGGCAGAGCCAGTACCAGAACAGATTCTTGACTCCAATTCAGTGTGATCAATGTTACTGCCACAAGTAATTCTGTACAGCTGCACGATGTTAACATCAGATCCAAGTAAAGATAAATACATAATACAAGGTTTTTTGCTCCATGTTGCCATGAGCTTTAGGCCTTTTATATTTTTTCCAGTGACATTTAGCATAACTTCTGCAGGTGCCAAGAGCAAGTATTACCCACAATGAACTTGAGCAGAAGCTTTTAAGAAAAGAATCACTTGATATATCTGCATAGCATCAAGGCAACAGACTGCACATAAGAGGGATGTGTCAGCTTGTAAGACAGTGTGACTGAGTAGCTAGGCACTGGATCAGGACTCTGGACATCTGGGTTCTATCCCTGGCTCTGCCACTGGTTGACCTGAGACAAGTCATTTCACTTACTACATTAGTTTTCTCATTTGTAAACTGAAGGCATTTTAGGATGTTTTAGTTAAAGATGCTATACGTAATGATTCTTAATTTAGGTCACAGGGAGAAATTCACCCCTAAGCAGGGTAGAAGGGAAAGGGAGCAGTTCCATTTGAGCCTACAATCAGGGGGGAAAAAAATCACTTCTTAATTAGAGCTTGGCCATGTTTACTTGCCATGGACAATTGGGTGGGATATCTGCACACCAATTCCCAGAGCGCATGGGGAGATCCGGCACATCTTACCTGCCATCCTGCCCTGAGGAGTGCGTGCGCCTCCTGTGGAGACAGATCACAACACAGGTTTACCTGACTGGGTGGTAAGAAGAATCTGTCCTCCTCCCTGCCCCAAGGGGGATGCTCTATTTAACAGCTGACACTTCTGCCAGCAATAATTAATCCCATCAAAGCCATGTCTGCTTGCTCCCAGAAGAGGTTCAATTAAAATCAGCATTAGCATTCTATGGCACAGCATAGGGAAGTCTGCCAAGGTTCTTAGTGCAAAAGCTAACTAAAGCCAGTCAGCCCTAGGATAACCAGGTTAAGAATGCTAGCCTTACCTGTACCTGGGCTGGTCAGAGGTCTCAGAGGGAGACCGCTCAGGAACAGAGAGAGAAGTTGAAGAGAGCGTTGTTGCTATGGAGGCTGTGGTAGCTTCTTCAAATGAAGGAGGAGTGCAGGGAAGCAGGTCTGGCCTGCCTGCTAGGCCCCCAACCAAGGGGAAGAAGGAGAGAAAGTCTGAATGAGTTAAAAGCAAACACCACTTGGATATTTCCAACCAGTTCCATGTCACTCTGTTGTACCGCCACTGGGATCTACACGCTCACTGGCATTAAGCAAATCTTAAACAATATGCACAGGAAGAGTCTGATGGAATTCACAAAGCACACTAGCAATGCTATCCTGAACAGCTCTGACAACGAACATCTCTCCCAACACACAAAATCAGTATGAAATGCTTTGTGCAGGAGTTTAAACTTCATTGGAACCCAAACTGGATTAAAACTCAAACGGTCAGAGATAAAAATCCAAGTGTCCTAAGAGATGAACTGTGTCAAGGTTTCACATGACTACACTATAAAGACCTAATACTTATGAGCCTGAGCTGCCACTGTCTTTGACCGTGCTGATCTCATAATAGCATGCAAGTAAGTGATGACAAACAATCAGCGCCATCTTTCTCCTGGCAAAGGTAAGGTCTGGTCCATTATAGCTGTACCTGAGCACCAACGGATTTACCTTCCATATACCCACGTCTCTTCCTGCAAACAGTGCGTAGTTCAAGAAGCCAACTGAACTGTTAATGCCGTCACTACCGATGCCTAATGGCAATAATCAACTTGCAGCAGGGACATGAGTGACCATTTTTGCTGTAGATCCCATTTAGTGCTCGCTCCCTCTACAAGAAGAGCAGGGACTCCACCCTCCTCAAAGCCAAAGTCCTTCAGGCTGATCATCCAATATACTAGTTGCTAATACTGACAAGGCAATATCTGTCTTACCTTCCCCCCTGTCTTGGTTAAGTTTAGCACCTGCAAAGCACAGCAAGAAATGTAAAGCTGTTGTCAAGGGAAACTTGCATATGGTGCACACTGGGGGGACTGAACAAGTTGAGGGGAGGATGCTAAGAAACAGCTACGCAGAGCTAGGGGAGAGAGGGGAACCAAACAGCTGCCCACCACCAACCCAAAATCACTACCTTCATCATCTAGAGTAGGGTAACTTCTGGCAGCACGTAGATCATACTGGGCGTCATCCTTTTCCGAGGGGAGCTGGCTAGCTGAAAATGCAGCTGTTGGACCAGGCATCCTGACAGCTAACAAGGCACTACGTCCTTTCTTAGACGGGGATGATTTTAGAGCTAGAGTGGGAAGAATTAACAAAATGAAACTGCTGTATCCACCAATGAACCCAACACAAAAGGAACTCTCTTTCTGACAAAGGGAAGATCCCTCAACCCTCAGATAAATTCCCCACACAGAGACAGAAGGACTCCTTCCCATGAAGGCGTAGCTTTGGGATGTTGAACCTGATTGTCTAAAGAGCTTCCAGCTCTGAATCAGGACACTGTGTCCAGCTAGAAAGCTACGGCAACTCCCTGGGCTCCATCACTTCCTAGCCTAGGCCTGAACTGTAATGGAGAGAGCCCAGTTCCTTGACAGAGTTAAGTCACGTAGGGAAGGGTGACAAGAGAAACACAAGGTCCTCTTAGCAAGTGTTCATCAGCTACACCTTCACACTGGATGGTAGCATTTTAAGACATTTTCATATGCCTGCTCTAAAGAATCCTCTGTGCTGACAAAAAAAAGAACCAAAAGAGCTGTGTAACCTCAGTAATACCACACAGCTGTGAGACCTTAGAGCAGTGTTGTCCAACTGGTAGCCTATGGCCCATGAGGGGGTAGCATATGGCCCACGAGGGGTTAAACTGCAGCCTCCCAGGGCCTGTTGGCACAGATGCTGGAGCCCCCGTGTTGGTGTAGCTCTAGAACCCAAGGAGTGACGCTGCTGCTGCTTGCCTCTCCTCCACTCCTTTGCCCACTGCTTAATTCAAGATCTTTGGCTGTCACTGGCAACTCAAACTGGCAGCCTGAAAAAGAGCAGGCAATGGCAGCATTCACCCCCTAGCTTCTGGAGCTGTGCTGACAGGCTCCTGCCCCACTGCCAAAGAGGTGGGTCATTTAGCTTGCAAGAAGCACTGTGGTCTGGATCCAATTCAGAGACAAATAAATTGGACAACTCTGGCAGAGTATAGGTCCTTCTAGTAAAACTCATCTAATCTCACCATAACTGTTTTCTAAAATGGAAGGGGTGACTGGGGAAGTCAACAGTCCTCTGCCTTTTGTGAACAGAGCAACAAGGGTACTTCTACATGACAGTTTGCAATGGAAGTGGCAAGACTGGGAAACATTGGTGTCCCTCCCCAACATCTTGAGAAAGATTGTAGCTGGAGCCCCAAGGCAATGAACCTATGGGCACTTACAGGAATTCTTTCGAAACACTGTGTTGGTCATGAATTTGAAAAATCTCTCTGCATAAAAGCTGGGTCTGTGTACTGACACGGTGTCCTAGAAAAAAGAAGTGTTCATAGTTATGCTTAAAAAACATGCAAAAGTAAGGAATTACTGGTATGGCCAATAAGGATTTTGTTTTTTATTTCATCATTTAGCGCTGATAGTGCCCTAAAATGGAAAGCATTCACTGAAATGATCTGATTAATGCTATAAATAAGCTTGGAGCACTGCCTTTACTTTGATTGCATTTTGATTTTGTTCTTGTTATAATTTCATGCTAGGTTTTGATAATTTTGCTGCTTAGAGGGTACCTAGATTTTTGGAGGAAGCAATAGCCTGATGATATGAATAAAGCCAGAGGGAATCTCATGAAGTTACTGAAGTTCAGAGCACACCTGGATACAGCAGATTTTGATGTGGTCACAAAATTTAGCAACAGAATATCAATGCACTTCAATTGTTCTAAGTATTTCATTTTATGTGCTAAGGCTGAAGCGCTCTCTCAGAGCTCTGATGTTCCGTTCTGTTACCATGTCTCTGGAGTACCATAAACTGCATTTGCCTTGACCTTTAATAGGAGATTTACACAAAAGTTAGGATGCGTTTCTGAAGAACTAGTAGTTTCACACCTGAAGTCAACCTTCTATAGCAGCACAACTGGCTGCAGCAACAAAAAATGGGATGGCAGGAAAAACAAATGGAAGAGGCTAGTTTAGCAAATAATATAGTGGAGCTGAAACAATCACCACCAAGGGACCAAACCCAGAGAACTGTGCCATATACAAGGGTACATACTGTGTGTGTGGGGTGTGTATGCACACAGCATATATAGGTTACATAGAAAATGAGGGTTGGAAGGGACCTCAGGAGGTCACATCTAGTCCAACTCCCTCCTCAAAGCAGGACCAGCCCCAAATAGATCATTCCAACCAGAGCTTTGTCTAGCCCAGTTTTGAAAACCTCCAAAGATGGAGATTCCACCACCTCTCTGGGTAACATGCTCTATTGCTTCACCATCCTCCTGGTGAGAAAGTTTTTCCTAATATCCAATCTAAACCTTCTTGCTGCGAGTTAAGCCCATTGCTTCTTGTTCTGTCATCTGCCACCACTGAGAACAGTCCAGCTACATCCTCTTTGCAACCACCCTGCTATCAGTTCCACCCCCCCAGTCTTCTCTTCTGCAAACTAAATGAGCCCAGTTCCCTAAGCCTCTCCTCGTATGTCATGTGCCTCCTAACCATTTTCACTGCCTTCCGCTGGACCCTCTCCAACTTGTCCACATGCCTTCTATAGTGGGGGGCCCAAAACTGGACAAAATACTCCATATGTAGCCTCACCAGTGCAGAACAAAGCAGAATAATCACTTCCCTCAATCTGCTGGCAACTAATACAGCACAATATGCCGCCAGCCTTCTTGGAAACAAGGGCACACTGTTGACTCAAATCCAGCTGATTGTCCACTGGAACCCCCCCAGGTCCTTTTCTGCAGAGCTGCTGCTTAGCTAGTTGGTCCCAAGCCTGTACCAGTGCGTGGGATTCTTCCATCTTAAGTGCAGCACTTTGCATGTGTCCTTGTTGAACCTCCTGAGATGAGTTTTGGCTCAATCCTCCCATTTGTCTAGGTCATCACATTAGGGCCCACCCTCCAGTGCATCTACTACACCCTCCAGTTTGATGTCATCTGCAAACCTGCTGAGTGTGCACTCCATCCCATCTTCCAGACTGTTAATGAAGTTATGCAATATTTTATTATATTTAAAAATATATTTTATATATTAGATCATAATTTATCCAACACAATATTCTTTACACACACACACAATACTGCAGTGGAAAAAGATGGTGCAAAACAAGCTTGGTGTATTACAGCTAAAACACTGGCATGGTGTGATCTAAGAGAATTACTACTTTGATAGACATTTAGGAGCAAAAAGTTACTCCTTTCCACTGTTTTCAAAACTGTACCAGACAATGCACTACAAATAGCACGGACTAGAGCATAATAAATAAAAGCAGCGATAGAATCCTAGAGTCAGCTAGCTAAGAGCAATTCTTGCTCAAGATTTTGAGCACTGAACACTTACCCCATCATGGACAAGGGCCTTCCAGGTGTGTTCTAGCTTCTTGATGAACCTAATTTAAATAAAAAGGGTGGGGGCAGAAAGAGAATTGGATAAATGTGTTCCCTCCCCTTCCTGCCAAACCATCCTTCACACTGCCTTACAGCAGAGGCCTTAGTGAACTCTTCCTGTTCTCAGAATGCAACCTCCCTCCAAGCAAGACAGCAAGGCTGACACCTCTTAAGCAAAGGTTTAGGTGTTTGTAGCTGGAAGGTTAGGACCGCCTGGAACTGTTGGAGGTGGGAGAAGGAGAAGGGGGTGAAGCTGAAGACTTCTTCTTCCTTGCAGAATGACAAAGTACTCTATTGGAGAGATTTTTCCTATCCTCTGCCACAGAAATAGGAAATTTCTTTAAAGGATTCATTTAGCATTAAGAAAATGGATTCAACACCACAGGCTCTTACAGGACTTTGGATGTTACAATTTTCAGCTATGCACTGGACCCCGAGTCAGACTGGGATACTCAATATCATCAGGGCCCTTCACTTCAGAAGGGAGGGTTTTATGATTTTTCCAAATAGTATTACAAGGTGACTTAACAAAGCTCAGGAGCAGAGCATGATTAAACCACCTTACCTGTATGACTGAAGGATATCTATTATTCCTACATGCAGCAGAAGGCGCTCTCCTTTGCCATTCACAGCTGGGATTCCTCCCATTCTGAAGGGTAAAGAAAACAATGTTAGCACCTATGTAGGAAAGAGCCATATTGTCCTTGGAGAGATGCTTTACTTTGGACAGCAAAGCCAGATATCCACATTAAAAGGGGGTGGGGGTCTAAT